GGGACGACCACTCGACACGACCAGTAAGAGGCACAGGGCCGACGGCTTTACGTGCTCTCCGAGGCACGGGGGTGAAACACCGCCAACTTCCCAACTCCGGGCTGTTACTGAGGCTTTAAATACAGAACTTTTTTTTATATACAATATACATATACCGATATGTGTTTTTAAAACCATATCATTATGTTACAAAATATTAGAAAGTTGGCATATTTTTTTGATACTGGAATGATTTTTGTAGTTAAACAATTTCTTAAATTGGCAGCAGCAAAATTAACTTTGTTTTTATAGTATAGTCTTTAAGAAGTACTATAAAAACAAATTTACTATACAGATAAATATTATGGATACGTGAACCTATTACATTACTTTTAACAACGCGCGCTCGCGCTTGTTCAGTTTTTTGTCAGTTCTAAAAAGTTTCTCCGTTGCTGAGTGAATAAAAAACAAATCAACAAACACTTTCGCACTTGTAATAAGTACGATTTTAATACAATAAGATATATTTAGATTTTTTAAGGTTTTTTATTGACTTGCATGCTCAGTTATAGCATAATACCGAGCACATAATAAGATTTAAAACTAGATCACATAAACAGAAGAATAGAAAACATAATCTGATTTCAGCTATGGCGGCCACACTCAACGGGGCTTGTACACAGGTAAGTGTATTACAATACACAAATATGCGCTTAAACACAAGTGCACTTTCTATTCCTCTCAAACTCAAACTCTGGTACGACGCAAATTCGAAAATTCGATACTCGCTGTGAGAAATCAGGTGCTGGACCGACGGCTTAGTGTCCTCTCTAAGGCACGGAGATGAAACACCCCAAATTTCCCAACCCATTCCAGTTGTAATTAGTTGACATACAAATGAAATAATTATACTCGGCCTGACCTGGAATTGGAACCTAGGAGCTCTGAATCTATGGCCATATATGCTAGTCGCTAGAACGAGGTTTAGTAATATGGTTTTTTACTATCCGAGTACGGAATCCTAATAATTTATTGTTGATTTTTGTAAACTCGCTCGACCGATTTCAATAAAACTTAAATGGAACCACCTAGGAAGTACACTTGGAAACAAAAAAAAATCCAACCGGTTTAGGCGTCTTCGAGTAATTGGTGAACATACATAAAAAAAGAAAAAAAAAAGATTTCGACGAATTGAGAATCTCTTCCTTTTTGGAAGTCGGTTGAAAATCAAAGCGAATCCTAATAATCAATAATCATAGAGACGGCGTAGTCAATTATCTTAAGCGCTCAATTGCGGCACGTCGTAAATCATAACCGCACATGAAGGAAAATAACAAAAATAACAATGGGAACACCATGAGATTTATGATTTTTGCCTCACTTATTTTGATCCCGTATCATTGTATTTATGGTTAAATTCACGCCGTTTTTAGCTGAAGAATTCCTTTGTAAGATTTGTTAGTAATGATATTATATTTTCATTTTAACATAGGATTGATGTAATGGTTGTACGTTAGATAATTATGGAGTTCCAAAATATATCTTATTGCAATTTCTATGATTGCTCATATTATTGACTAATTTTCACCAGCAGTTGTGCCTGGGCGAATCATTTTGGCAATGTTTTTAAAGTAAACAAGGCCGTATCTATGTATAATAGTAAAAAATATCAAAAGCCTGATAAGAATTTGTTATAAATGTGTAAATAACTCTTTCTGTTTGTTTGCAAGCAAAATGTACATAAGTAAATAATATAAATATTGTTAATTCAAAATAAATAAATTTATTTTGAATTAACAATATATATATATATATATATTATATGCGGATATAAACAAATTAATTATGTCAATATACGGTTACTTTTATCTTATTTCAAAGATAAAATCTTCTAACAGGCTACAGTACCATTAATTAAGATTCTACCTGAATGTGCCTTTGGGTCATAATTATTAAAATCTGATTATTTTTGTTTTCTTTTGATGCTTCCGTCGTATATATTATCTTTATCATAATTCATAATATGTACATAAAATAAAATTATAATTAGGTCACGTCTTTACTGAAGAAACGTGGTTGAAAACCAGCCGCTTCAAAATGTAAGATGATTTTCACTTGGGAGTTGAGAGATATTAAAAAAAAAAATTCTTTTAGATACTAAACTGGTAAAAAAGATAGTATTTTATTATTTGGTAAAACAATAGGAATAATATACTCTTGTTGAACTGTTTGTTCAAATGTAGGATCTTTGTAACTGGATACCTCTTTATCTTATAAGTATTATTTATATATGCCATATTCTGTAAAGTAAAACAGTTTAAACTACGCTAAGTATATAGGATAACTGATTTCTTATAAGAAATCTTTTTTTTATTATAAATAATATTATACAAAACAGTTTATATTAATAGGAAATTGTTACTTTTTTAAAACTGAATTTAATTTTTGTTTTTATAGTAGGTAAAAAAATGTACCCATTTTTTTTGTTTGTCTGTTTCAAATAAGTGCATTTAGAGTCTTTATTACTTCGAAGTCATAGGGCTGAAACGAATTCTTTTTAATTTTGTCATACCTGCCAGCTCGTATATTTATAAGATCAAAGCTAAAAGAGTTGTGAGTGTGAGTGCACTGCATATAATTTAAGGATCATATAATATGTAGTGCTGGGTGCAGATAATTATTCTTCTAATATATAAAATTCTCGTGTCACAGTTTTCGTTGCCATACTCCTCCGAAACGGCTTGACCGATTTTGATGAAATTTTTTGTGCTTATCCGGTATCTATGAGAATCGGCCAACATCTATTTTTCATCCCCCTAAATGTTAGGGGTAGTCCACCCCTAATTTTTCTTTTATTTTTTAGACAAAATTTTTAATTTCTATTTTTTTATGATACAACATACAAAAATACATACAATCCTCAATTTTCAATAATATAAAAATCTTAAAATAAGGCTTTAAAACATACATTAATCTACTTAAGCATCATACACTACAAATCGTGCGCTTCTATTTCTTCTCCTTCTAAACGGCTTGACCGATTTTGATGAATTGATTTTACACTGTAGGGTTGTTTGGATGGTCTTTAGTTATGATTAAACCCGGTAATTAAAAATATTGTGATGATCCAGATTTTTTAACTTTTCGACCAAACGAGGTTTGAAGCAAGATTTGTCTACCGGGTGGGCCTTCTAGTAATACTGATAAATTAACACACTAATAACTTTTGATTCACAAAACAATTTTGAAATCACTTAAAAACGGTATGTATAATTTTGTATTTTTAAAATTATATGTTAGAATACATCTCGAATGCCGAGAAATATCAAAGAGGTGTCAATCTTATACTAATAGCGCAATTATGGTACAAAAACACATGTGTTATTTTCCCATGAAAGTATTTGTTATTTTTTAAAGTACAAAGAATATGATTGGTATGACACGTACAGTCGTATTCAAAAGGTATCTAATATTAAAAATATTATAAAATAAAAAGAAATAGAGAAATACGCTTTTAACATCTGTGGTGCTTTTTGACAAACAATAATTAAAAAAATATAAAAATCCAATCTTAAAGAAATAAATGAGCTAAATTATTAGCAATACAAATCTGTATAATAAAATTACTTAATAAACCTTCCTTAAGGCTATAAAGTACATAATAATTACTGGCCTGTAAGTTAGTGGATTAAGTCGATCCAATAGATGATAATTTTTTTTATCTTTCATATATTTACGTACTTTAAAAACGGAGGAGATACGTAATATTATTATAATATATACATATACGTATCAACATTTTAAAATTCTTGCCGGATTATTGAAATTTTTACCCGTCAGATTCGATTAAAAGTAATTTGTCTTAGTAATCTTACATAATTGATATATTAAAATATGACAGAATAATTGAATGATTTAGCAGACGCGACGGTGGTAAATTTTTAAATTATGAATGGCATCAAAAGCCCAGACTGACGAATTTTAAGTTCGGACTTTGACATAGTTATTATAAGAAAATTCTATATTTTTTAATTACAATATTATAGGCGACCTGAAGTGGTAGTCCAGTGGTGGCTTATTTATCCAAACTGAGTGCAGCGGGTTCAAATCCTGGATCTTGCACCTCTGATATTTTCATATGCGAACCATTTCCAGTGAACGAAAAGGTCGTTAGGAAACCTGCATGTTTGAGAGAACCTCGAATGTTTTCGAAAGACATGTGAATTCTGCCAACCTGTAACAGTGGGACGTTAAAAGGGTTGATTACGATACGATATGAGGCGATCTGCTATTTTATCTATACTACTAATATAATAAAGAGGTAAACTTTGTGAGTTTGTGAGCTTCTGACACTGTAGGGTGTAATCTCTAGATCTACTGAACCGATTTAGATGAAATTTGGTAAAAAGATAGTATAAGACCCTGGGAAGGACTACGGATCTCAAAATCATCCCTCAAGGGGGTGAAAATGGGGATGAAAATTTGTATTGGGAATCAAGCTAGGGACGAACTCAAGCGAAACGAGGGTGAGTCACAAGTTTTATATAATTTCATTATATCTCGCTTCGTTTGTTTGAAAAAGGATTTTTTAGAAATACGATTATATATTATAAGTATAATAATTATGTACCACTTGTGTTCATGGTAGTCATATTAGTTACAATATCGAAAAAATCGCTTATCAATATCACTCGTTATCAGATGCTACCATGGAGGAGACTTTTCAAGTATTTGATCGTGTTCTCTCCTTTGCTGGGATACCAATATTTAGAAAAAGAAACTGGAATTCTAAAAAATGGCTGCTATTCCAAATTTTTAATTGCTTTCTTGGTTTCTTAACCTTCATTTTTACTACTGGTTTCGTTTTATCTAACTTTTCAGACCTTTTACTATGTATACAGGGGGCTTGTGTTTGGACGACAGGGGTCATAATGTTTATTTCTCTCTGTATATGCTTAGTTTTTAGGAAGGATTTTCGATCATTTTTAGAGGAAACTGTCTTTCAAGATTGCATGGTAGAAATGCCATTAATACAAAATATTTTGCAACTTAAGTTTAGTCATGGAAAATTGAAGGAATTGAGGCAGTTAACAATAAACTCTCAAGAGACACTGTTCAGACTTACAAGAGTATTATTAAAAACTTACGTAGCCTGCGTATGGGTGTGCGCTACTTTGTACTTATGCGGTCCGATTTATATGATGTGCAAAAGAAATGATAAATCACTACGTTTGCTTGGTAAGTATTTGTTAAATTTTTTCTTAGATATTAAACGAATATTTGATATTGGAATATCATTATAATTGTGGATGGTGCATATTTGATACTTTTACACGCTGAAAAGACTGGAAGGATTTGAATGAAATTTAACACCTCCAGGTAAATTTCTAAGAAATTAATTAAATTTCTAAGAAATCTATTGTTAACTGTAACGCCGGTGTGTCCGCGGTCGTGGAGATATTAATACACAGATAGATTATACTCGCGAGCAAGTCACTAGCTTTAAGTAAAACTAGATTTTTGAATTGTTTTACAATTTTTGTTTCCGCTGATTTAAATGCTTTACAACAAAAATGGCCATAATAAAATTAAAGAAAAAGAATAGAAAGAAATTGTTTTATTTTAAAAAGTGTTTCTTTATTTTTCATTATTTTTACGACCTTTCTTATTTATGGTTTACTATAGGATTGGAATCTTTATACCAAATAACATAATCATAGTATCGAGTTTGGATGAGATATTGGTCTTTGAATGAAATGCGTTAAAATGTAATCTTGGCTTATATTTGACTTGATGAAAAATCCAGTTCCATTTAACTATCTCTATTCAATCCCGTTTGCATAAACGCATATCTATATTTTTAAATATTACTATATAACTTAAAGTATTAAGTTTCATATAAAATCTTTACTTTCATACAGTAGAGTATAAAAAATAAAAATCAAAACAAATATGAGCAAGTTCTTAAGTATGGTTTTCCGTTATATTCATGCCGGCGTAACCAGGGCATGCGAGAAGCGGTAAACTTTTATTATAACACTCATTCGCGTGCTTAGCTTTTGTTTAAGTTTCGCTTTATTTCAGCGTTCGACATGTGGTTTCCTTGGGGTTTGGAAAACTTCACCATATATGTTGCTTCGTTCTCGTTCCACGCATATGCCGGATACCTGTGTTGTATCGGTTAGTTTATTATTTATTATCTGACCCAATAGACGTTTTAATTTTATTCGTGTCTCTTAGTTCATACAAAATATATAGAAAAAATCATTTTCAGTTTTTTACAACTTGCCCAAGTTTTCAGGCAAATTTTTTAATACATTTTTTTTATCTAAAAGCCTTATCCAGATTTTTACCAACAATTGCAAAAATGGCCAAATCGGTCCACTCGTTCTCAAGTGATGCACTTACCAACTACCAGCATTCACTCTTTATTTATATGGATAAGTGAATGAAAACTCTAAAATTCTTCTATTCATATAAAAAATATGAATTTCTGGATGTTCCTAACGTTTAAAAGCCGTAGTACATACAGTTTTTTTGAATTCTAAACATATGTTTATATATTCCTCAATCGAGAATGAAGGACGTATTTTCAAGAGTTTTAATTATGTATGTATTTAAGTGACACGGATTTAAAGATTGAGAGTATATTTTAAGTATATTTACAATCCGAAGACAGTTTGGTTAGATTCTTAATCAAAAATCAGAAACAAGTAGGTTTATTGGTATAAATAGATACGTACGCTACACATTTTCGTTATCAGCCGGTGAAAAAGTTGGGCTTTTCAACCATCAACATCAAACATTGGCAACTGCTAAATCAGTAAAACGCTCTTCGAGCGCGAGTGAATGTGTTAACTCTTCACTTATATACAATATCTGAGAGCAAAAACTAGGCATTATTATATTTATACTTTCTTAGATTTACGCGAATATGTGACATTTTAAATAAAACTTTCTTTACGGACGTTTCGAATGCTTACAGCAATCATGTTCACGGGAGAAACGTTGGCAACCAAAAATAAAAATAAACGTACGAAAAAAAATGAAAAGATAGTTTTATTTAAAGCATTATTATATTAATTTTTATGTTTTAGCATATCCAGGTTTGCAGGCCACTATAATTTTATTAGTAGGACAGATAATACGACAATTAAAAATTTTAACATTCATACTTTTGAATTTGGATAAACTGGTCGAGGAACTGGTGGACGAGACAGGAGAGAAGTGGCAGACGGAGTGTACCTTGGTGTTGTCCCAATGTATTGATCATTTTGTGAAAATGAAAAGGTTTCTTTAATCTCACTACTATTATAAATGTGAAAGTTCGTATGTATTCGTGTGTGTGTATGTTTGTTACTCCTTCATGCTAAAAGAGCTGAACGGATTTGCATGACGCAGACGCAGACAGATGAATGATGAATGTACCTGGAGTAATAATAATGTCCACCTGACCGATTCCGGCCACGGCGGCCAATCTCATTGAGACTAGCCAACTGCGCAGGAGATATTATGGTGCACAAGTGTATGCGCAGACACAAGTGCACTCTCTATTCCTGTCACTCTCATGCTCCGGTTGGACGACTACTCGACACGACCGGTGAGAGGACTACTAGAGGACTACTACTAGGCGCAGGACCGATGTAAAAATAAATGGTTCCCGTGGGATATATCTATTTGTGCTTTTCTAGAGGCGAACTCAAGCCAAGCGAGGGTGAGCCGCTAGTTTATAATAAAACAGTTGTTGTTTCGTAAATAATATTTGTGTCCTTTTAGATTTGCCCATAGGCTGAATATAATATGTCAGCCATTCTATTTGGCTTTGATATTGGTCGCTATTATGCTGGTCTGCGTATGTTCTGTGAAAATTGCTATTTCGGTAAGTTTTTATACGTTTAAATTATTTTATTAGACTATGTAATTGTAAGAACCCCGTAAAATGTATGTGTGATTGGTACTCCTAAATAATTAAGGAGATCCTGGAAACCGATTTTTTTGGCGGCCAATTTTACTGAGACATATAAAAGTGCAAAAGTATGTGCGCATACAAGTGCGCTTTCTATTCCTGAAATGCTCATAATCCGATGATAACACACGAAAGGTAAGAAGCAAGGCGCTGGCACCGGCAGCTTAACATGCGAAGGATATCCCAATTTCGGATGTTACTGAATGTTTCATAACAAAACTTACGATTTTTTTTTGCTCTACCAGGGACTCGAACCCAAAACTTAATAATCTGAAAATGTTACAAACTAACCATCTAATCCGAATATTTTCTATATAGAAAACGAGGTAATTTGCTATTATCTTCGACTACATTGGTATTAAATACATCAAATTATATACACGAGATAAGTTTTTTATTGAATATTTTTAGGTAACATTTATATTTGAGACGTAAATGCCATAGCATTTTTTGTTTGTCTTTCGAACAATCAATTCAATTGTTCAATCACGCTCTCAGAACGGCTAGATGGGTTTTGAGAGGAATTTTTGCTTGTATGGTTTTTCATTAAAAAGTTATATCCACTTCGGAATTACCCTAAAAGTAATTATTTCACTCGCAAGGCTCGGTTTTTTACCTTCAAGATGAATTCTGTTCATGAAAAATAATAGTATGATTATTAATTAAGGTTCTCTATAATGGAAGACATAAACACAAATCAAATCCAAATTAGCTTTATTCTATATTATTTTAGAGCTTTTGAATCGTCAATTTAATTTTAAGAGGATCAGTGTAATGCAAAAAAATGAAATAAACAAGCTTAATTATAATTGTTCTAAGGTAATATAAGGCATATAAGGTATATAAGGCAATCAAATGATGTCTTCTAAGATGTGAACATCACGTGCTGTATAAGTTTCTATACGATAAGTTAGGACTGGCATAGTATAAAAGCGCGTTCCATTGTATTCAAAATTTAAATGTTTAAATGTTTGTACATATATTTTTAATAGATGGCATTGGGGGTAATCTAAAACGCGCTATCGTTTGGTTAAGATGATATGTGGTATTGAACAAAATAAATTTTTAACCACAATCCAATCACTGGAGTTTTATTATAAACCCAGAGGGAACCCTACTCCCAAGGACAACATTGGATTGTACATTTGGTCCTTCGAGCCGGATCAGCGAATCGTTGGAAGACTTTACGCCATCACATCACTTTGGCCGGATCGCTTGTGCGAACTGGTTGAACTTCAGCAGCAGCCAAGTTGCAAGGGTGCAACTCGCCACTGCAGACGGTGCTTGGAGAAGGCGCCTGTCAGGAGAGGACAATTGTTGGCGCAAGGGAAGGAGCGGAGCACTAGACGCGTCACGTGGGACAGTCAGTGCAGTGTACAGTCCATTGAGGTGATCAACAAGAAACTGTAAGTGTTTCAAAGTTATAAGTAGTGGAAAAATAATCTAACAAAATTGAACTTTAAGTCAATTGGTGATTTAACTCTAACGAATTCTCTATGAAGAAACTATATTAGTGAAATTGAACTTTATTGCTAGGAGTGATTTAACTTAGTAAATATTACTAGTGAAGAAATTTGGACTTAGAACATTTTCGTAGTTTTAACATTTAGTGTAGTTTAGAATAAGAGCTAAATTAAATTATAAAAAAAGACTTGTAAAATTTGAAACTTTGTACTTGAGGTGAAATATTAGAAATTCAATTATAATGGATAGTTTAATTAAAGTTCAAATAAATTTATATGATCGTATGCATAAAGCGCGGATAAATTACAAAAAGTCTCCTAAGGATCGCATAACTGTTCAGTATGTAGAGATCCGAATGGAAACTCTAAACCAATTATGGTCTCAGTTTAGTGATAACCATAATCATATAATTAAGTTATCTCAAGGTTTTGACAATAACTATTTTAAAGAGGATGTAGCGGGAAGTGTGGAAGAATTGTATATCGATTATATGACTGAATTAAAACAAACACTTGCCTCATTTGATTGTTCAAGTAAGGATGTTTCAGTTTCAAGTGTAAATAATGCTAATTCATCTAACATTAAATTACCCCGTATAGTTATTCCAACGTTCAATGGTCAATATGCTGAATGGACCACTTTTAGGGATTTATTTGTATCGCTTGTACACACTAATAAAGAACTAGACAATGTACAAAAGATGCATTATCTAAAAGGTTATTTATCTGGTGAGGCCGAACAGCTGCTCAGACAGATACCTATAGCAGATTCAAATTATGAAAGGTGTTGGTCATTACTTAATTCTAGATATAATAATAAAAGATATTTGTCACATTTTATTTTGAAACGTTTATTAAGTCAAAGAAATATTACATCAGAGTCAGCTAATTGTTTAAAAAATCTTATTGATACAACTAATGATTGTTTAAGTTCATTAACCAATTTAGATATAAATATAAGCACTTGGGATATTATTATTATTCATATACTTACCTTAAAGCTCGATTCGGAGTCCAGGAAACAGTAGGAATTTTCTGTAACAAATAATAATTCATCTGAAGAGCTACCGACCTTTAACCAATTTTCTGAATTCCTTACAAATCGTTATCGAGCCTTAGAGTTCTTGGACACCAAATCAGCTACTGTAATCAAAAATTCTCAATATAATAATAATGTAAATAAATTTAGAACTTTTGTAGCTTCAGCTAATAAGATTCAATATGCATTTTGTTCTGAGGATCATAGGATTATACATTGTAAGCGTTTTTCTAATGAAACTGTAGACGCTCGACGCAATTTTGTCCAAACCCATAACATATGTTTCAATTGCTTAGGGAATAATTATTCTGCCAAATCCTGCCAAAGTTCAAACAAGTGCCGTATTTGCAAATGTCAGCATCACTCGCTATTACATCCACCAAGTTCAGGTATTTCTGGAGCCAACGCTGAAACAACTAAAAATAATAATGGTAACATTGGTTCATCAAGTTCAGAATCAAACAACGAGATGGAGTCAACTCCTTTAGCAACGTTCTTTTCGACAGGACTAGTTCGTAATCAGGTGTTGCTAGCCACTGCGTTAGTCAAGGCCGCGTCGAAAACGGGAGAACATTATATAATTCGAGCGTTGTTAGATCAGGGGTCACAGACGTCATTCGTAACTGAAGCGACAGTCCAATATCTGGGACTAAAGAAAATTCCTATAAGGGAACAAGTTTCAGTTTTAGGGGGTAATAGTAATGTGTCACCAAAAGCAATGGTCTTTATTCAACTTAAATCAATGATTGATCCAAATTATAATATCACAGTAAAGGCTTATGTTTTGAAAACAATCACTAGTTTTCTTCCAGCCAAGAGAATAACTGCATTGGAAATGCTTGAAGCTCTTGAAATAGAATTAGCAGATCCGAATTATCACACTCCAAACAAAATAGACGTTTTGTTAGGTGCTGAAGTTTATGACAAGATAATTCAGGAGGGTATTAAAAAGGGACCTCAAGGTTCACCGGTAGTCCAGAACACATCGTTTGGATGGATTGTCTCGGGTGAAGTAACTACATCAACCAGGGAGGAAAATCATACGGAGTTTAATACTTTTCATTGTCGAACTGACGACAACGACATGCTAAAACAATTTTGGGAACTCGAATCTGACCTGGAACTAACAAAGCAACAAAGAATGACACATGAAGGACAAGTTTGCGAAGAACTATTTGCTCGTACTACTGAAAGAGATGAAGACGGTAGATATATAGTTCGCTTACCTTTCAGGACGGAAAACCCAGATTGCATGTTCAGTTCTTCTAAGGAAGTAGCTGAAAAAAGATGGAATACATTAAAATTAAAGCTAAAAAGAAATCTAGAATTCAGTAATAAATATGAAGCAGTAATGGAAGAATATCTACAGTTAGGTCATATGGAAAAGGTACCAGAATCAGAAGTAAATAAGCCAAATACAGTATACTTACCTCATCATGCTGTGATACGAGAAGACAAGGACACTACAAAGTTAAGGGTAGTTTTCGATGCTTCTGCAAAAGGAAAGAATGGAGTTTCATTAAATGATTGTTTGTTAGTTGGTCCGCGTCTGCAATCAGATCTGCGTCATATCATGATTCGTTGGAGGCAGCATCCTATTTGCTTAGTAGCAGATATCGAGAAAATGTACCGGCAAATAAAAGTCGCAAATCAAGATACTGACTTCCAGCGTATTCTGTGGAAAGATAGTGCTGGTAATGATAAACACTTCAGACTGCTCACTGTTACTTTTGGGACTGCTTCAGCTCCATATCTTGCGGTTAAGGCTCTTCAGCAAGTTGTAATCGATGAAGGCGATTGTTATCCGTTAGCAGCTCAAGTAACAATGAATGATTTCTATGTAGATGATTTAATAACTGGATGTGAATCTGTGGAAAAGGGACTTAAAATATACAGTGAAATGAATTCTATGTTAAGCAAAGGTGGTTTCAAATTACGGAAATGGTCAAGCAATACTAATGTTCTATTAGAAAAGATAAAAAAGGAAAATGAGGATGAAGAAATAGCAGAAGAATTGATTGAATTAAAATTAGACAATATCATGAAAATACTAGAATTTACCTGGGACCGCACCAGTGACTCCTTCGGGTACTCGGTAAATCTTCCAGCGTTGCAGCAACCTGTGACAAAAAGAAAAATATTAGCGGATGTTTCTCGTTTATATGATCCATTGGGTTGGTTGGCACCAAGCATCGTAATAGCAAAAATAATGATACAAAAGCTATGGCTAGCTGGTTTAGCTTGGGATGAGGAAGTACCTACAAATTTATTAAATGAATGGATTACTTACCGTGAAGAATTTCAAAATTTGTCCAAATTTCACATACCCAGATGGCTAGGCATGACTCCAGATAAGGCATCTATTGAGTTGCACGGATTCTGCGATGCTTCCAAGATGGCCTACTCGGCAGTTGTTTATGTGCGCGTGGTGAATCATGACGGAACCATTCACAGCTCCTTGGTAACTGCTTGCACGAAGGTAGCTCCAGTAAAGCAGGTATCAATACCAAGACTAGAATTATGTGGTGCAGTTCTATTAACCAGATTACTTCTAGAAATAGCTAAGGTCATGGGTATTGATAAAATGAATTTGCATGCGTGGACTAACTCAACAATTGTTCTTGCGTGGCTTAACAGTCATCCTAGCAGGTGGAAGGTATTTGTAGCAAATCGTGTGTCAGAGATTTTGTGTTCTTTGGATTCGCATCAATGGGCACACATAACATCAAAGCAGAACCCAGCAGACTGTGCTTCCAGAGGTCTGTATCCTGCGGAATTGACCAAACTTCAATTGATTGGTCACACCTACATCCAACAAATGCTGCAGGAGTTTTGGCGAAATTGGTCTCAGGAATACCTGACTAAATTCCTTCAAAGATATAAGTGGACTACACAATCGTCACAGCCTTCCATTGGTGACATTGTAGTTGTGAAGGAAGATGGTTTACCACCTTGCAAATGGGTATACGGAAAGATTATTGATACTCATCCGGGTTTGGATAGAATTGTTAGAGTAGTCTCAATTAAAACAAACAAAAATGTTATGTTAAAACGACCAACATCTAAACTATGTGTTCTTCCAATTACAAAATAAATGTAGCTTTTTCTCTCAAAGCATTCATGGTGAGCAATGCTTTATAAGGACAAAATGTCCTTATGGTGGGCGGTATGTATAAGTTTCTATACGATAAGTTAGGACTGGCATAGTATAAAAGCGCGTTCCATTGTATTCAAAATTTAAATGTTTAAATGTTTGTACATATATTTTTAATAGATGGCATTGGGGGTAATCTAAAACGCGCTATCGTTTGGTTAAGATGATATGTATATAAGGTATTGAACAAAATAAATTTTTAACCACAATCCAATCACTGGAGTTTTATTATAAACCCAGAGGGAACCCTACTCCCAAGGACAACATTGGATTGTACACGTGCATATGAACAGAACTAAGTACTACGAGTAACTAGTAAAAGTAATATGTAATATTTAACAAGGCTTAAAATCTAATTATTTCGTGAGAAAGACAAATACCTGGATTCAGAATCTCTTTATTTTTTAGAATCGTGAAACACCGAGGACATGTAAGGGATTGTATACCTACCTACTAAAATAAAAAAAAATGAAAATATAGCTTTCATTCGGGCCTATTTTTTTATTTCTGTGCACTACCTAATAACACTGTCATTATAATATTCATATTTTGTTTTAGGACAAATTATCACCTGACATATTAAAATACTACGTTCATGAGTTTTGTTTCATTCTTGTGGTATTTATGTTTTGTTTTCTGGGACAACAAGTAGATAATGAGGTACGTCACTTATATATTATATGCTTATATAGCATTTATAGTTTTGGAGCTAATTTTAACAATCTTAGTACTTCCGCTTCCGAGCTTCGTTCGGCGTAAGCGCTCGTTCAGAAGTTTACCGTCCATTGGCGACAATGCAAGTACCACAAAAATTTACGAGATGGCACTATATAACATTGTCTACATGAGGGCAGATATTAAAAGGCCCTAATAATAATTACTTATAAAAATGTTTCTTTTGCCAAAAATTGTGCTTTTTCAGAAAAAAAACCTCTATACATGTAGATAAACTTAAAAACCAAGCTTTATCAGTTTATTTAGCACAAATGATCCAACTCGTCAGAGGCGTTTTCGAGATACCTATACGAAATATATAAGATATTATAGTGTAGCTAATATTTTAACGATATCAAAGGAAACTTCTTTTGGGACGTATTTAACGTTTTAAAAGGCTCGAAGATGAAAAATAGCATAATATGACTATTCGAATGATGCCCCTGCTAGATTTAATCAAAATCAGTGTAAGTGTGAAAATGTAAAAAACACACAGACAAAATTACTTATATACATATAATACAATTCTGAGTCGAATCTGTACATTAAATATTTTTTGGAAAATTTTATTGAAGTAGTCATTATTACATTACATTATACAGAGGCCGAATTTATAGTTTTTAGAATTTTTGTCTATCTGTCTGTGACCGTATCACGAGAAAACCACTAGACAGATTTTGATGGTATTCGGTACGATAATAGCTGGTTATCCGGGTCAACATATAGGATACTTTTTACTGCGGGAAAATAACTCATCTCTGAGAAATCTATAGGTACTAAACGTTAAAACGTACTCACGACTCACCCTCGATCTGCTCGCATTCGTCCCTAGTTCTTTATAATATTGACTAAGATTTAACGTAAATAAAATCGATATGCCAAATAAAAGTCAAAACTAGAGCTTTCTTACGATAGATCTTAGATTTAAATTAAAATTATGAATCAACCATAACAAAAAATCGACTAACATATTATGTTAATATTTTCATTAAATTATTTTCCAGTGCGAGAGATTAGAAGCAGCCGTAACAGAGAAATGGTACTTGTACAATTCAAAACACCGAGTCAATGTTCGTATTTTCAAAATGGCTCTCAGTCAAAGGATGCCTATTTACATTTTTGGCTCGATAACGCTTTCTTTGCCGACGTTTACTTGGGTGAGAATCAAGACCATTATTTATCGCTGCTCATTTTATTATTATGTTTATTTAGATATATGAAAGCCTTTGAATGAACAAAGCTAATTTATTTTTATCTTTCATATAAATATATTTTATTTAGCATCGTATCCTTGAAATATCGGTCAAGTACGGTCGCACTTGTGCACCTAACGATCAGTATTATAACGAAATCTTTGAGTGAAGTTTCTTTGACGTTTATAGGTACAGATTGTTTATATTATGACGTTTTAATTTTTATAGTTTTTTATTTATTATTTATTTATAGTACCTAAGGAGTAAAATAATGGTACGCAGCTCTAAGCTATATAGAGAAAAAAAATAATGGTAAATATATAAAAAATCTAAAATTTGCCTCTCTTAACTTTTTATATAATATACAACATATATTTATATTATGATACAAAATATTTTAATTATTCATGTAAGTAACGCTACGAACTCAAAAGTTTTACTAACGTCAAACCGATGCACTACGATATATAGCCTATAGCCTTCCTCAATAAACGGGCTATCTAATGCAAAAAGAATTTTTCAAATCAGAATATTGGTTCCTGAGATTAGCGGGTTCAAACAAACAAACAAAGTCTATCTCTTCATAATATTACGTATAGTTAAGTTGTCAACTTTCTACCTTCTTTATAAATAAAAATGAATGTTTGTATGTTTGTCCTTAATACGTTCCTAAACTATTAATCCGATTGTAATAAAACTGTGGTGGGTTATTTTGTATACGCCAAAGCTTCTTGGTGCTGAAAAAGAATTTTCCTGTGGACGTTTGTTTATGAGTTTTTAACTGCTAGTATACATATACAGTATATTTATATAGGTATATATATATATATATATATATATATATATATATATATCGTTAGTCGTTAGTAGTACCTATATAAGTTTACTGTAATAATTTTCTTATTTTTATTTTGTTTCAGTTCATACGGACCGGGATGTCATTTTTTACTTTATTTATGTCAGTTCTAGAAGAATAGAATACAATGTAATTTTAGAATAACTACACATATCTGAATAAAATAATTAGTTAATTTTTTTTTATTAGCATTATTTGAATCACGCCATTATTTGATTTACGCCATTAAATAAAGTAAATGCACTATAATTAAAAATGAAATTATCATTAAAATTGTTTCATTTCCATATCTACATAATACAATGAAATTGATAATAGCTTTTCAAAATTAAAAAACAAATCGATGTTAAAATATACAAATCCGTTTATTTAGTATTCGTAGTATAAAATATGATTGCTTTTTTTAAGATTATATTATGAAAGCGTGAGTGACAATTTAACTTTAACACCTACACTATGCCGCTAAGTATCAGTATATTCGAACTCGTTACCTCCAACATACAAAAAATACTCAAACCACTATGTCAGGCGATCGTTAAATAAATTAAAACAATTAATAATTACTGATCAAATCCAGTTAATGATGCTGTGCTTATTAAAACAACAAGTAATAACCGAAATCAGTAATAAGCCTTTAATAATACATGGTGGAAATGTTTTTAATTAACTGATAATTTTAAATTCTTTTATAATTTGTACGCATAATAATGTATATTAATATTATAATTATAATCTATAATATTATAAAAAGGTAATGTTTGTGAGTTTGTGACGCTGTAGGAGGTAATCTCTGGATCTACTGAACCGATTTAGATGAAATTTGATAAGAAAATAGTTTGAGACCCTGGAAAGGACATAGAATACTTTTTATCCCGGAAATTATACCTTAAGGGGATGAAAATAGGGAAGGAAATTTTGTATGGGTAATCAAGTAATGTAATAAAATATATTTTGTACACTATTCAAAATATATTTGCAAAGCAATCAGGATAATCGAGCTCAAAGGTAATCTGTTTTTCAATTTTATTATGCAAGGATCAATAGCCATTTTAATCTTACCTATTTGTATATAGAGTATCGACTGCTCGAATAATTGAAATGTGTTATGTATTGGCTGATATGTCATGTTAGAAATGTTTCTGTCACAAATGTCGTGAGTTCAAACCTTGGGGCGTAATTTAATCAACAATGTTCAATAAATAATCCAGTTTTGGTAAACTTCTCGGTAAAAAATTGACAACAACAACGATACAGCTCTATTCAGAATTAAAGGGACATTGTTAATGTTGCGTTATCTTGACCTCCCGATAGGATGGCAATCAGACACGACCGAAGATATATTATGCACGACCGATTTCTTTCTGGGGTAAAAAGTTTAGGAAACGGCTGAACGGATCTAGATAAAATTTGGCGCAAAGATAGATTGTAGGCTGGAATAACACATAAGCTACTTTTTATCCTGGAAAAATATATGGTTCCCGAGGGATAGATTTGTTTTTGTTTTTCTAGAGGCGAAACAGAGCAAAGCAAGGGTGAGCCGCTAGTTTTTAAATATTTTTAGCTAATGAGATGCACATGCTAACATAATTAACTGTATGAGTTACAAAACGTTGTACTTAGCAGAATCGGTGTTACTTCCCGATAGTCTATGAGGCAGATATTTTCAATTAGATAAACCATTCAGACCGAAGCGAATGATGTCCAATTTAGACGGACTTATTCGTTGATTTTGCGATAAGATACTAACTTATCACATTTTTCCTATTTCCTTTATATATCTAAATGTAAACAAGGATTACCTAATAAAGATTTATCTGAAGAAATTCGAAGGAAAATATTTATGAGGCCACTCCATTAGCACAAATGGGAGAATCGGCTAAGAAAATAATTCTGGTAAATCTGAGTCGGGTAATTTTGTGGGTTTATGTTTAAAATAAAAAGATTCGTGTGATTTCATTGTTGGATAAGTTATTTGGGAATTAGGGAATGAAGTCTTGGAGATGGATTTCGTCATTTTTATGGTTTGTACAGCTTTCCAGCTCAATATATTGCTTAGGGAGAAACCTGTTTCTTACCCCTGGGTAAGAAGATCTTAATCAAAACAAATATTGCAGTTTGCTTATTAGTAAATTTCTGAAACAACATCATTAGGACGATTAAAATTTAATTAATCAAAATATTTTTTTTGAGTCAATATGTTGGGCTCTATATCTCGTTTTTTTAAGGCTTCGGTAGCTTCAGAGATAAGGCGTGTAAATTAAAAATTTACATGACTTATCTCTGAAGCAACTGAACACGTTTGGAAATGTGGTGATTATGTTTTTAAAATATCTTTACATATTGTAAAATAAAGTCCTCCGCCGCGTCTGTCTGTCAGTCTGTCTGTCTAAACGCTATAGACTTAAAAACTACTAATGGAGTGATTCATTAGGAGGGGTAAGTGTATTATTTATTAAGGTTTTGCGTAAATTGACTGAAATATGACGATGACCGTTGAAAATGTCGGAAAAAATCATGCCGACTGGGAGCTTTATTGGTGTGCGGCGCGTAAAATAATTAAGTTTTATGAAAACAATGTGTTATAGAGTTATTCCTCTTAAAAAGATATTCCTATTAAACTATAGCAACGCTACGAGTATATGCACGTAGTTAGGGACGCACCCGAGCGAAGCGAGGGTAAGTCAGTATGTGAGAAATAAATAAAAAAAAACACATAAAGGCAGAATAAATTAAACATAAACGAGTAATTTAAATAACGAAGCCACAGGCAAAAAATGAAATAATATTATAATATCACTCATGACAAAACTTTTCTTTACATTTTAAGCCAAATTAGCGAGTAACAAACGAACGAGCTTATAAGGGTTTCATTTTCTATCAGATATTTGAAAAACAAAAATTCAATAAAGTCAAAATATAATTATAAATAATTAAGAATCAAGCAACCACTTAACTTCTTAGACAATCAAAATCAAAAGTTTTAACGGGAGCGGAAAACTGTTCAGCAAAATGTTACACAACAGCCGATAGAAAGTGGTGTGCAATATGCAAGTAAAGACTTGCAGTATGCCTCTAAGAGCCCAACTAACCTTTCATTGTTTTTGGCTCAGCGGGGCAAGCTTATGGTAAAACGCATTCGCTAAATAAGTGTGAACTGTTAATGCTGATAACATTTCTAAGTATTTTTTTTAATTACTAGTGTGGATTAAAATATGAAATTATCATAACAATTCTATAAGTAATATATGCTTATTATTATAAATGTGAAAGTTTGTGAGTATGGATGTTTGTTACCCTTTCATGCCAGAAGGCTGAACGGATCTGGATGAGTTTTGGCACAGAGATACTCGTATATCATAGTCAGGAATAACACATAGGTTTTTTATACCGGTAAAATGTATGGTTCCCGTGTGATAGGTTTGTTTTTGTTTTCCTAGAGGCGAACCCGAGCGAAGCGAGGGTGAACCGCTAGTACATAGAATAAAACAGTAACTTAGCGAAATCGATGTGCGCGTTTCACGCAAAAAGTACTGAATCGATTTTAAGTAAATTTTGTGTAGTGATTGATAACTTATTACTCGGGTCAATATTTACGATACTTTTTATTACAGGAACATGTTTCATTCCCACGGGAATACATAACTGATTCTGTCGAGTTGTTCTTAGAAATTTACATTTTCTAACGCTGGCTAAACCTTAAGAAATAAATCAAAACAATCAAAACAATTGTAGGTCTTAATAAGGCCTACAAAAAAATCTGCAATAGCATAAATCTTTCTCCTCAGATAACTCGCAAAAACTATTCATATCTATTATCTACTTACAACATATCTAGGGATGCTCCCAATTTTCATCACAACAAGTACAAGCTCATTTTTAGTTAATCAAAATTTATCTGGAATAAAAATAATGCAATACTTATAGAATAAAATCAATATATTTCTCGTCATACATATATTATTTTATCAGTCTATATATATTTTAATTAGGAACATAAACATTATATATATTTTGTAGGTAATTTTATTTGGATTGGTTAATTTATGTAATAAGCCAAAAAATAACTTTTTTTTGAGGATATGGCACACTAAAAACATTGCCCCGGGTGAGGATCGAACTCACGACCTTAAGATTATGAGACTTACGCGCTGCCTACTGCGCTACCGAGGCTCCGTGGACAATTCTGTAAAATTGATATTATACTAAATTGAACTTTACATCTTCAAGTAAATAAAATTAAAAATTGTAATTATTCTTTATTGCACACAAAAACTCATGAATAATTATATATTATGATTGGTGCATATTTG